TATATATATATATATATATATATATATATAAGAACACAAGTAAGAAAAAGTGGAAAGGAATATTTGGTCCAACAAATTCACTCACATAAAGAATTCAACTAATTTATAAATGTAACTGAAAATAATTCTATCAAACAAGATGTCAGCACCTAAAGCTTAAATCTATTACTCCTATTGTTTGAATCCACCATTCAAAAAGACAACCCACAGAAAAACTGTCCAAACCATTAAAAATTTTGAACATGTGAACTAACTCTCACCCCTAGCTCTTCTGCATTTCAGAAGCTAGCCAAAAACTTCTAACTTCATAGCTCTGCACCCTTTTAAAAATGTTTATATCTTTCCTGCCACACAGTAGCCAACACAACATATAGTGCTGAAACTGAGGCCTCATTGATGTTGTACAGGACAAAAATAGCCTTCTTAGTTTTTGAATGAAAATGTCCATAAATACAACCAAAAACTCTACATGCTCTTTTCAACACATATAAATATGCTGCAAAAGGCTTTAATAGAGTTCTAACAGCAATCTAAATATTTTCTTTCAAGGGCACCAATGCTCCTCCCACACAAGAAGTTCTTTCTATACACCAGTTTACACTTCTCAATAATAAAATAAGCATTCCATAATTTGGTTCATTCATTAAAACTCTAATATTATCACTAAATTTAGAAATGTTACTGTCTAAAAACCTAACTAAATTAGTAGCATACATACTAAACAATAAAAGTCCTAAAACAGTCTGAGGGACATTCTCCCAGTTGGAAAAATGCCCATTTATTATAATTTTTTGCATACTACCATAAAGCAAATTTTATATATACTTCTTAACTTTTCCACCAATCCCATTATATAACATTTAAGAAACAACAAGGTGTCCCTTGTGGCCGTACATTTATTTCATCAAACATCTATCTACTTATATCAGACAATGGCCCCCCTAAATATTTATCGAGCCCTCTCTTTAACTCTCAAACTCTCTGTTTGAAAATTAAAAAATTTGCAAATGACTTCTATCTCGTCAAGTCTTAAATCAAAGTCGTACCATTCTTACCATTAAATATAAAAAAAAGTTTTGCATCAATCCTAAACAGATCCCTTCTAACCCTTCTTTTCTACAGAGAAAATCATTTTAAAGACCCTAACCTGTCCTCATACAACAACCTCTCCTTCCAAGGAATCATCCTAATCGTCTTCCTTTCATCACTTTAACAACTTAAGACTGAACACAATACTCTAAATGAGATTTGTACAAAGGAGCAATAATCTCCTTTAAATATGAATTATTTCTATAGATACAACCCAACTTCAATTAATCTCTTGTAAACCATTTTATCAAAAGATTTTTAAAAAGTCAAAATACAATACATAACAAACCTGGAAGCTCATGTCCAAAACCCTTTTCTAAAATCAGAGTGAGGTGGTTCTAGTGTTTTCTGACAATTTATTCTAACACACTGCTAACAACAAGTTACCCTGATGGGTATTTTTTTTTATTATCCCTAGATCCTTTCATTTTTAAAATCTGATTCTCATTAACAATCTTTCAATCATCAGATATTTCTAGTGTCAAGAGACCTCTAAAAATAACCATTAAAGTCACCATTGGATTTTTCTAATCTTCTTTACAGCTTTAGGATAAACCTTCAAAGTCTGGAGCTTCGTTCAAAAGATGCTTCACAAGCTCTAACATATGGTTTGAATGCCATTCAAATACATGTAATCTACCAGAGCTCCAGCTAGTTAAACAATTTTTGTTCCAAACATATCAAAATGCAAACAAACATCACAAACAGTTTTCTTACTTTCTCAGTCAATTTATTAATTTATTTCTTCGCAACTAGTTTAATGATCAAGCACTAGCACTTTAGACAGTTTGGGTGTTGCCTAAAGTCGAACATTTAACTAAAGAATATTCAATATTTGCTAACCACATTAGCTGATATATTATAGGCTGCATTTGGACTTTTAAACCCATTACCACCATAAAGAATATGAAATTGATAAATTTCCCAAAGCACAAGAACAAACTTCAAAATATATCTTCTCCATTCAGTTTCATAATGTTGGTGTCAATGGATTAAAAAATAAAAATGTGGATTAGTCAGTTTTTTGTATGTATGCTATTAAACAATTACTTTGCTTTTCATCTTTCAATTTATTGGTAAATATTTGCAAATTGCAGAGATAATCACAACAACTTTGATCACTTATGCTCACCTAACACACTACTTCCTTTAACTTACACCAGTCACATGCAGATTGTAATAAGAAAACTAACTGCTTTAAGAGTACTGTAGCCTAAACATTTATGGATTTAGAGGTTTAGGATGTTAGTATTTGTTTGTCATTTGGTGTTATGTATACTTAGCAAAAATATATTTTTCCACATACCATAAATTAAAGTCCAAAGTATACTTAAATCAGTTCAATAATACAATATAGTGACAAATTTGGATCCTGATGCAGGTTCTTACTTCTAAGAACATACGTAGCATTATCCTGAAGTGGGTAACAAATTCACTTGTTGCTCATAAGAATTAAAATGTATATGTAGTTTTCAACCTCTGTTACAGTATTTAAAAGTATTTTTTTTCTGAAACGTTTACTATTTACTTTTCATACAAATATGTACTGCATCATTCCAATGATACAAAAACAATGAGCAACATGATAATTAAAATAATGTTTTATTTAATTCAAAAACATATTTAAAAGCTAAACAAGCAGTCTCTCTTTTGGAAAAAGTAACTTAAGTGTATGGTCACTTATTTAGAATGCAAGGCTGTTCAAATTTCATAAAATTTTAAAGGGACAAAAAAGAGCTTATTAGCCCATCAAGGATGTCCCTTCCAGCTCCCAACTATAACCATCCCTTGCTAC